GGGATTTTTAATTAGAAAATACAAAAAATTTCAAATCTCTTTTTCTAGCCGTTAGAATTTCTCAAAAAAATTCTCGAAACGTTCGCCTCGACGAGAGGTCGAACTTTGCTCCCGGTGCGCCTTGCGTAAAAACGCGCGGATCGGGAGATATCGAAAAAAAAAACTAATTCAAAAAATATCAAAAAATGAAACTAATCAAGGAAATGGGCTAATTAGTGCTTGACTAATCAGCCCGTGCACCCCCGTTGGTTGGGGAAGACCGCGGCCTTGGGGGTGCTTCTCCCCTCCCCGGCAACGGCGCCAAAGTTGTTAGGGGAAACCCGGGGAGGGGCGCCCGCTTGTCGCTGAAGCCAAGGGCAACGGCGCCTGTCACTCGCCGCGCCCGCGTCCGAGGTCCTCAGCGACCAGCAGAAACCGAGTTTGAGGTTGGCTGTCACACAGCATTAGCAAGTTCCTACAGCAGTGAGTCTTAACAGTCAATTAGTGAACCAATTTGGTCACACAGCGATGAGTCAAGTCCATGTAGCACCGAGTTTTAACTTAAACCGACAAATGGTGAACACTCCCGGGAGCAATATTGGAGCGGATGCAAGCTGAGGGGCATATTCAGAATTCGCAGCAAAATCAATGGCAGTTCCAGAATCTGACAGTTTCTTTTGCCGTTCGGTTATGCTTTCCGTCGTCAAATACTCATCAACATTCAGACACGGGCAAAACTCACTCCTAACATAAACGTACATATCCTTGTTTTCGTTCCAAGTACAACCTTGATAAAGATGGCCCGGTATCGCATTTAGTGAAAGCAAGGCGGYCAGCCATCATTAATCAACGTGATCAATCATTAGCCCATCAAGGGAACGTCTCATTTCGCGATTTGGGCCAGATACAATCATGATGAGTATGGCGTTCCGCCCCCGCGTCAGATCACCTCATATGCGCTTGAACCAGCCCTCCGCCATGTCATGGCGCATCTGTCTCGTGAGGCTAAACAATGGCTGAACAAATCTGGCTCAAGGCAGCGGCCAAATTCGTTCACACTCTTCCCACAGTTCTGTTTGTGTATACGTGCCTATTTGCTCGCTGCCTTTCATCTCCAATCGTGCCCCATCCCTCTTTTGTGCAGTGCGGGTTCCTCCCCTTCTTGGTCACTCACCCGATGTAGAAAGGATGACGAACCCTCTGCTAGAACATGGAGAGACGCACTGCCACTTTTGTTGCCCCTTGTATACTGCTGCTCGATCGTTCAACCAAGCCAGAAAATTGAGAATGAATTTTTCGCAAGAGCTTTGACCAGATGCACTGCGCGCAGCGATTGCATAGAATGAGGATGAACTTTCCGCTAGAGCTTGGCTAGATGCACCGTGCACAGCGAGTGTACAAAATGAGAGTGAGTTATCCGGTAGAACTTGGCCAGATGCTCCGTGCACAGCGATTTCACAGAATGAGGATGAACTTTCCG